CAGGTTGAGGGCAGCCAGGTCAAACTGGTTGAAGACGCCAGTCTGTGCAATGGCCAGAACAGTCTGCAGCTGCTGAAGCTGGAGCAGGGCATTGATGTTGAAGGTGCCAACGTTGAAGAGGTCCTGGAAGGCAAAGATGTTGAAGTTGTTCTGGAGAGCCAGTTGCTGAAGGAGACCAAAGTTGAAGGAACCCTGGTTGAGCGCAAAGAGGTAGCTCAGGTCCTGCTGCCTGAAGTTGAGGTTGTTGACGCGCTTGGCATCAAAGACGCCGCGCTCAAAGACGGGGAGAGCAACCGGAGCGTCGACTTCGGCTTCGGCGACGGGGGCGGCGGCCGGGGCGGCAGTGACAAAGGCGGCGAAAGTGCCGGCGAGGACGGTGGACAGCTTCATGGTGAAATAGGGGTGAAGAAGAATTAAGTGTACTAAGTGTAAATGTTTGTTTGTTGCAAGACCGAAACGGAGCACAGCTCAAGTGTTCGGGTTGTATAGAAATGAAGGATGGAAACGAACAGCGAGCACAGCTGCGAGAGGATTATTGTTAGCTGGGTGGCCGTATTCTCATATATATGTATATATGTTTATCAAGTTCGGGCCATCATACCTCTGGAAATGAATGTATGGGAAAGTAGTCGAAAGATGTTCTGAAATGAATGGGTTGGTGAGCAAAACAAAATCCTGATCCAAGACGAACCATCCGAGGCATTATATACCAGCACGACGCCGTCAAGACGCACCTCTCCGCCATCACATCATCTCCATTGCACCGCATTGCAGCACGCCCAAAGCGGCCGGCCAAGCACACACTAACCCGGTAAATGTCCATCCCGACCTCACCTCCTCGGCACCCACGTCCATCCGGACTGGTGCTCTTTGTCCAAACCCAAAAAGAGGGCATCAGGCCAACGTCTTCGGATGGCTGCGCCTCCGGCAGAGTATACCACAACAGACCGAAAGACGTTGAGATGCCAAGGACCAATAGGCTGCATCGTTGGAGAGGACGGCGCCCGGCTTCAGATGACGGGGTCTTTCCACCTACGCCGGTAGCGTTTTGTGGCAGTCGATCAGACGAAGGCGCCTTGGCTGGTATATGCGTACCACAGTCGGGGGATTCTCATTGGCAGCATCTCGGGAGTAGTTTCACATGGAATAGGACCGCATGGTGTTGTGGTTCGGATCATTCCGCCACCAAGCGCTGCCAATACACTTGCTCCGACAGGGACGTTTGAGGAGGAACCCAATCTGGGCGGCCAGGGGGGGTAGTTTGTTTTGGGGTTGGGCTGAAGAACAGGTGGTATGGGGCCTGGCACGACGCTCTCCTTGTGCTGGATGACAAAAAAGGACCATGTACGTCTGATGTTTCCATTGGTGTTTTCGCGCGCTTGAGGGCTGCGGGGGGTTGGGCATGTCACATGAGGGGAACCCAGCGAGGCGGCTGTCTTGTGAGACGGAGGCCGGAGACATGTTGTGTTTGAAGCGGACGTATTTGCATTGACGCCACGCGTGGGGAAACGTATCGTGACGAGGTTGGGGGTCGATTTGAAATGGTGACGTTTATAGTTGCCACCCGTGAGCATTGAGCAGTGAGGACATGGGACCCACGATGGCGACATTTTCGGTAGTTGGATGGCGGCGGAAGGAAGGTGCGCTGGCGGGTTGACATGCCAAATGCATGTGGTCAGTGCTGGTAGGTAGAACAGAATTTTAGCTTATTTACATGTCTAGTTGTAGATTTCGGGAGTTTGCAGTCCGATCTTCTCGGATGCATCTCAAAACGACTTAAGCTCCAGGCTAGTCGGCACACCGCATCTTGTACGACCATTGAAGCCCTCACGACGGCAGCACCGTTGACGTTGGAAGGGAATAAAACCGGCACTGGCTTACTGTATCTGGTATATTGACACATGCATGTTCTATCCCTCAAAAGACTAGATCTAGGTACACATGTACATGTATCTATGTACTTATCTGTCGCATATGCCCCACAGATGGTCCAACGCAGTGACTGAAGACCGCACACAACCTCCACTGCTTGATACCACCCGTCCTGAATGCCTTGTAGCTTCATCACATGATTAGGGTTTTAATTAAGGAGTATGCTGCTTGTAATCCTGGGCCTGGAAGCCCGGTAGCGTAGCACTGTCGAATAGGAAAACCAAATTGTTATTTGCACAATGCCCTCCTCACAGGAGCAGCAGGGCTGCCCCAATACCAGCGGCAACACCGGCCAGGCCAAGATGGCGAGGAACCACCGCACCAGCAGCGTTGGTCGTAGTAGCACCGGCCGTGGAAGCAGACGCGGTAGAAGCAGGTGCCTTGGAGCCAGATATCGTAGCCAGCGAGGTTGTGCGAGATGCACCAGCACTGCCCGTCGCCGCGGGCACATTGCCAGTCTGCGTCGCCCCGGGAGCCGGCGACAACTTGTCGACACCGGCAGTAATGACAACGGGAAACACCATGTCCTTGTACGCGGTGAGGACGTCTGAGCCTTGCGACATGAACGTGGCCGACCCGACAGCCACGGCAGCCATGACGCCGCACTCTGCGCGATTCTGGTCCGGGTTGAGCTTGCAGGAGTGTTCGAGAGACCTATCAAAGAACAGTCTGTTAGTCGAGCCTGGCCAAGAAGCTTCTCCCACGGAAACACTCACATGACGGCGGACTGATGGAGCAGATCCTCTGCGTCCTCGGCCTCGTCGCCGCCCACCTTGCCATCCCAGTCGGACATGGTGGCTTGGATCGACTGCACCAAGGTCGACGGCCCTTGCACCACCGTCATGGAAGTGCCCTCTGGCAAGCAGCTGTCCGCCGACGCCCCGGCCTCGCAGCCGAACCCGTACGTCGTCTTGTCGCCGTCGACTCCGACCACCGAGCCTCGGAGCTTGGGCCCTTCCCCGTCGTCGGCCAGCGGCTGCAGCATCGAGACCGTCGTGGTGCTGTCTGCGGCGCTGACGAGGGCGACGGCAACCGCTGCGACGCCCGCAACCAAAGACTGGCGCGCCATTTCTTACCAACGAGTGACTGAAGCGAAAGACTGAGTTGAAAAACGAGTGAAGTAAGTTGACACGGGAAAAAAAAGAAAAAAAGAAGATTCCTCTGTCCCTTATAAATACATGACACCCTGTGGAGGTTGTCCATGGTGCATGATTTTATTTTACTATGGCCATCCTGACTCTTACATGGCCCAACTTGGATACGGCCGAAAGGAAAACCGGGCCACAAGGGGCGCCGGCGGCACTTGACTTTAATCATGAGCTAAAATTCACGGCAATCCGTTATGCATGACGGCAATCCGCCAAATTGCACAACCTGGGACCATTGTCCAAGCGCGAGTTGGGCAGGTTAATGCAGCATGGAATTATTGGGGAAAACAATAGTAATTTAAGTACACAGTGGCATAAAGCTGAATGAGCATGCTGACACTATTTTAGTGGGATTACAGAGTACTCCGTACAAGCGCCTTCAATGTTGATTGAATCAATTGAATCCTTTTTATATTGACATCAATTCAATCAAATGTCGAGTCAATTTGTACTGACCCGCCCCACATGCTGCCTGCTGGAACCCCTAAAGACCCCTGCGGCGACCCTCAACCAAGCCCTAATTTGGGCCATTGACGCCCTAGAAAAAGCAATCACCTTTTCCACTCACCAGCAATCCAGTAAACATTGAACCTGGGCTATAACGGTCCTGTGTCTTGGCGATAATCGGGTCTTTCAATGGTTCACGGTCATCTAGGGCTGGTTTTCCCGTACTAGTAACGACCACCCCTCCTCAACCGTCCCAAGGGCGCAAGCACGTGGGAAACAATCTCCAACACTCGGCGCAATGCAAAGCGAGCGCCAGCAAACCAGTCTCCCTCTCGCTTTACATTCCCCCGAGACGCTGTAGAATGAGCATATCCGAGAATACTCGGCCTTGCTGATTGAGATTACGACGTTGCCCCCGACGGGATAACTCCCGACGGGATACGGCACGAAACTATGTGCGCATGACGGCAGCTGACTTGTAGACACGCCGACATGTCCTTCTCTGTCTGCAATGACCAGACCCTTCCAAGCGCATACACGTATACCGACTTGATGGTAGAGCTACAGGCTTAAACACCGGCGCAGCCAACGGCCGTGACGAGCCTAGAAAAAACTTCGAGTACGGAAACGACGAGACGGAATTTCAACTATGCAAAACCTTCATTGACCTGATTCATGACACTCTGGCTGACGTCATTGGGTTATAATCGGCCTAGTAAGAACATTGAACCCACGCGGCCCTCGTATGGTTTCAGTTTTGCTCTGCATACCATTTGCGCACTTGAATTTCAAAAGACCAAGGCTGGGAATCCGCCATTGTGACGAGGTTCAAATTCAAAGATAATATCAAAGAGTGTCAAAGGTCCTTGGTTTTCCAAGAGGAAGGAGGGGAACAGTGATCACTACAATACTCCGTATATAAGAAGGGAACGCGTGTGCTTAGGGCCCCTGCCCGGGCACGTGTTCAATCTGTGTAACCAACAGGTCCTTTGTCGGTGAAGCCCCTTTGTTGGGCTTCACGATTTGTTGGGCCCTTTCCGTGTACAGCCATAAACAAGGCTCCGTATTCTGGTATCTGAATTTCTCAAAAGTGACCAACGATAGATATTGACAGAAATGTTACTGTCCTCACGGTTTGTAAACGCTCTCACCAAATTATACCATTGCAGTAAGGCGTCTTTCTTTTTCTGCAGAAATTGACACTTGAATAATCTAGTGCCTGTAGCGGGCACCGCTAAATCAAATCCATCCCCTCGCCTCCATCACCCAGTGAGTCAACGCCTCCCCAGGCTCGGACTGAATTTCCCTGCTTTTCAGTCTCGTCCTAGTCTGATATATACCATGCCTTGGATCAATTTCTTACCCCAAATCCCCACCCCAGCCCCTAAAATCCCTGAAGTTCATCGCTCTTCCAATTCAACTAAGGCAGCGAGATTATTCTTCCACATCGCGCTTCAACAAGGCTGCTAGTTGTTAGCCGCGTGTTTTTGTGCCTTTCATTACGGTAGATAAAGACTCACCGACGTTGAGACCGTTGCTTACGAATCCATTGTTGAGGACAGCAATAACCTGCTGTCTCGGAACAACACCAAACTGAGCAAAGCCCTGCACCAGCTGAAGCTGGTTGAGCACAAGAATCTGGTTGGCAAAGTTCAAGTTCTGGATAGCCCCAAAGTTGAAGCTTTGACCAATTCCCATCTGGTTGATGATGGCAGTGATGGAAGGGGTCAAGAGGTTTTGGAAAAGATTGCCCTGAAGGCCCTGCTGGATAATCTGGTTAATATCGTCGTTCCTGTTTCCATTGTTGTTGTTATTGTTGTTGTTATTCTGGTCGTTATTGTTGTTATTGTTATTCTGGTCGTTGTTGTTATTATCCTTGTTATTGTTATTATTTTTATTATCTTTGTTGTTGTTGTTGTTGTTGTTATTCTGGCCCTTATTGTCCTTGTTCTGATCTTTGTTCTGGTCCTGGTTCTGGTTCTGGTTCTGATCCTTATTCTGGTCCTTGTTTTGATCCTTGTTCTGGTCCTTGTTTTGGTCCTTGTTTTGGTCCTGGTTGTTTTGTGTTTCGGCAGGAGCTTCTGCAGCAGCCGTTGTAGATGCAGCGGCGGGAGCAGCGCTAGATGGGCGTTCGCCTTGAGCAGCCTCCTGTCTCGCCATCAGCTCTACAAAGCCCAAGCCTCGCTTTTCCAGATCATCTTCGACGGCGGTAAGACCGGGAAGGGGTTGAAGAACCGCTCGCTCAGCCAGCTGAACAGGAACAGCCACAGCGGACACCAGGCCGGCCGTGAAGAGAAGGACAGAAACAGACTTCATTATGTCGGTATTAAAATGAAGGAATGTTTTAAAGGTAAATGAGAGTTAAAAACAAGTATGTGTCAATGAAACAGAAGTAGAGCACAGCTCTTGAAGGAAAGTGATAAAAGGAGAGGAATGGAAACGAAGGCCTCAGGTGTGTAAATCTTTGCAGATGATGACCACAGGAATGTCCCAACTGATGCGGGAGAGGCACCTCATGATATAGTCGACGGCCATTGCGCTGAGCTTCGTTTGCGTTTGCTGGGAATCAAACCTAAAACATGGATCGATACGAATAACTGTCAATATAGCGGAGTAGAAACGTCAGAACCTCTCGAGGAACAGAAAGCATGGTCTAGTGGCCTTGGTATCGTTCCACCATGATCTTGATGATTCACTTCTGACACCGGCTTGTGCACTTCCTTTGAGATCCCCAGCAACATTCATGCTAAAGCAGGCACAGCATCAAAAGACTCAACGCCACTGGCAGCTGGTGCGATGATGCACAAGGGGGCATACCGGTTCCCGAGAGGTGGTGGCTGCTTGGATTGGTTAGGGCTAAGGCGGCATTAGACGATGTAGGGCGACGACTTTCGACTTCAGACGTCAGAGAAACCAGGGTCAACAGAGACAATTCCAAAAAGTTGACACAAGACGCCGGGCAGCTCGAGACTTCTCATTGGCCCCGTGGTCCCAGGTCCAGACACCATCGATGGGATTGGGGGAATCGATAATATGCTCAATGCCAAGCATCACTAGGAGTCTGGAGGCTGTTGCAAGGGGGGGTCACATGGTGTAATGCCATTCGTGGATGAGGCCATACCATCACGCAGTGTAGACGTGCAGGGGCGTTTGCGTCAGAGTAGGCGGTGTCATGAGGGTTTGGGGCGAACCACGCTGAGGTTTTGGGTTCGGAAGCTGAAGCGTGGCGTCTTAGTCTACATGTAGGTCTGGTAGTACTAGTACTCGCAAGTGCTCAAGTGCTGCGTGGGGTACTAATTTAGAAGGAACTACTCCGTACTCCGTACGTTAGGTACCGATAAACTTGCGGGGAAGGAAGGACGGAGTCTTGGACGGCCCCTGGTTTGTCCACAGCGTCTCAGACGTCAGATCGTCCGGTATCCAGGATTGCCGACAGTCTCGGCTCTTGGCCCGACATGCTGGTTGGCCACGCCTCTGTTTTCCTTACGCAATGGCAACGACTCCAAAAATAAAAATAAAAATAAAAAATCGACCCGGGATAATCCATTTCCAAGAGACGATTTGAAAGTAGGCACCGGCGTCTTCTACCCAGCCACTTCACTCCTTGAAACCGGACATGGATTCTTTGCCCAAGAGGCTCATGCATATGCGGGCTCACCAACTCATTGCCCTACGATTGGTTTATTGCTAGAACTAAAACAGTCTCCGCGATTAGACTGGAGCCTGTAGGTCAAACTTTTCGATCACCATGTTCATCACTTTGAAGTTCAGTATCCATCCATGGCCTGCTGGCTAGGGCAATCGCCGCGTCCCATTGCCATGCCCTAAGTACACCTATTTCGGATCATGTTAGATCGTCCTGCACAGGCCACAATATCTGTTGAGCATAGTATATGGTCCCTTGATAATGCGCATGTCCAAGACACAGCCACATGCCTATTTGATAGAAGCAGTCCCGGCGCCCGACTTGCAAGGTGCAGAGACAAGGCAGCAACCCAACCAGGCGTCATCACGAACAGTCGCGAGTATATGGCGTCTTCATTTTGTCCATGTATTGTTATTTTTACAAGTATCCGTCGTACACGTCATCGCCCTATCCGCTTCCCGCCCTGTCCATCGTCGCCTTTATGGAATCCTAGCCACTCGCCCAGCAAACCCCCCGGTTTTGGTACAGGACATTCCCTCCTGGTTCGTTCTGGTGTAGAGTCGCAATAGTCTTCCGTAATCTGATTAAATTGTACAATTCCATCCCGCGATTCGGCGGCCTCTCGTCGTCTCCACCTCCTCCGTCTGCCGTTCTCGTCGACAACTACTTCACCATCGGCGTACTTGGTTCGGGGCACCGGGCACGGAAGCAAGTGCGGTAGTGCGACGACGAAGAAACTCGCGACGAGCGTCGTTGCGAAGAGTGATGAGGTCATTCGCGACCTGGGGTGAAGGTGGGGTGGCATGATCCCTCGGCGTTGTGTCTGACCTCGTCATCCAAGGACCGTCGATGGGTTCAATTGGAAGGTTAGCGCAGAGATTGGTGACCGACAGCAGCCCGGCTACTCACATGATAATTGGAACATGTTCTAGCCGCAGCAGAAGTTGCGTAGACAGCGATGGGCGACGGCCAAAGTTGACAATTGGCGTCGTTGAGTGACTTCGCGCCGCAAGAAGAAAAAAAAGGCGCCGAATGCCGTGAGCCGGCTCCTGTACGACTTGATGATTCCGAGGCTGCCTATTGGCTGGGGACTCCTTGCACAATAGCCGGAGTCGGCAAAACGTACACCCGCTCAAAAATTCCCACAATCCCTGCCGTTTTATCGCGGAGGGATCTCTTGTCAGTAAACGCACCACAAAACGGCAGAACCCACTGCCACCCGAGATTGGCTGAAGTCCTGTATCTGGCCCGACGTCACCTTCAACACCAGCTCGCGGCTCTTTCCCACATACGCCCTCAACTACCACGACGTCGCGGCCGCTAGCGACCAATACCGCAGCAATATCTCTTAGCGTATACTCACGGCTGAACATGATTTTTGTATCCTGAGCCGGGATTGCAATCGACCGCGGCGCCTCACGAGCGACCCAGGGTCAACATCATGAGCGACCTCGACAAGTGAATTGCGCCCCGTTGCCGAATCATCCCGCCCTGACGGACACTGACATTGATGGACTAGGGCTATCGCGCAGCTGCGTGCTTGTCGACCCATTCCAGAGGCCCAAGTGCGAGAGCTGTGCCACCGCGCACGAGAGCTTCTGATCGAGGAGGGCAACGTGGTCACGGTATCGGCGCCAGTCACAGTATGAAGATCGAGCCTCCTCCCCGACGGTCGGTAGCCAAGAGGCTAACATTTAGGCTAGATTTGTGGCGATATTCACGGTCAGTTTCACGATTTGATGGAACTATTTCGAGTTGGCGGAGATGTCCCTGATACGAATTATTTATTCATGGGTAAATGCCACACGACCCTGCGCATGCATTGCCATTTCGTACACGCTGCTAACGCCACGTCTAGGCGACTTTGTGGACCGAGGCTTCTACTCTCTCGAATCATTTCTTCTTCTTCTATGCTTAAAAGTACGATACCCCGACCGCATGACGCTTATCCGCGGCAACCACGAGTCCCGTCAAATCACCACAGTATACGGCTTCTACGATGAATGTTTGCGGAAATATGGCAGCGCAAACGTTTGGCGGTATTGCTGCGATGTATTCGACTATCTGGCCCTCGGGGCCATTGTTCTGGGCGCATCCAACACATTGTCCCCTGCATCTGGACCAGCGGACGAAGAGACTGAGATTGAAGTGTGCGACCAGAACGGCTCCATCATGAGTCGGTTCCCTCGCCAGCGCCAGCGGCAGCAGTCTTCTCAGCCTAGCAGCTCCCAGGAGCACGGCGCAAACGGCAGCGGTCCCGCAGGGCAGACCGGACCTCCCGGCTCAGGCGCCTCGGGCTCCAGCAATGGCAGCGTGGGCAACCCAGCCGGAGCCGTGCTCTGCGTCCATGGCGGCCTGAGCCCGCTGATTGATACAGTTGATAAGATCCGCCTGATCGATCGGAAGCAAGAGGTCCCCCACGAGGGCGCTATGTGTGACCTCCTGTGGTCCGACCCCGACGACATCGATGGCTGGGGGCTGTCGCCGCGCGGCGCAGGATTCCTCTTTGGCGCTGATATTGTCAAAGTATTCAACCACCGAAACGACCTGAGCCTCATAGCTCGCGCACATCAACTCGTCATGGAGGGCTTCAAGGAAATGTTCGACGCCTCCATTGTGACGGTCTGGTCGGCTCCGAATTACTGCTACCGCTGTGGCAACGTTGCCGCCGTCCTGGAGCTAACCGAAGACGATTCTGGCATGGGCGTCTTCTCCCGCAGCAACGGCGACGTGAACAGGAGCGATGGCGGGCGAGGCGTGATGATGGAGTCGAATGGGATGATGAAGAGCGGTCCTGCGAGACGGTATCGTGTGTTCCAGGCAGCGCCCCAAGATTCACGGGGTATGCCCGCCAAGAAGCCCGTCGCGGATTACTTCCTGTAGAGGGACTCCGTAGGCGGCTGCTTTTCTCTTCTCTTCTTCTTTTTTTGTTCGGGTGCTCTGCATCGACTAGACGTAGATGATGAATATGGACCATGTCTCGGAATAGTTACGGCGTTATACAATGTTTTGACACGGTATCCATTGTCAACCTGGTTCTGTCGTTGCTCTCTGAACTAGTATCTGCAAGTAGCCCCATGCGTGTCGAGGAACGCGCGCCGAGGCCTGTCACTTGCTGAGTCCTTAATACGGAGTAATGGCTAGCTATTCCGAGCGCTAAACTCGTGCACCATTCTAGCAGAAGCGACACTCGTCCGTGTCCAATGTAGAAGCTTGACCCCAGACAGCCTTTGAGACATGAAGCGAGAGTCGCAATCCGCCAGTGACATGCCGCCCAACCTACTTGCGGCATGCCAAAACATCATACACATTCACAGGGCGTTAGCCACAGGGGACACGGCACGTCGATGTGTCATGTGTGTCTTGAGACATGCCGAACCCTCCTGTTGCCTGGCGTTGGCCATTGGCGCGGTAATCATCTAACGGGACCTGGTCATGTCATTGCCCCGGCAAGCCATCGACGGCGTCGGATCAGATCTCACAATGACAACTTGATGACTAGACGAGGGCAAGGACGGCAATTCTGTCTCGCCTAGATGCCATCATGGACGAACGCGCGGTGGCGGCGGCGGGTCATCCCCGGACGGTTTTACGGCGTAGCCTGATGCCGAGGGCCCTTCTCCCGGCTCCTATATTCGACGTGTCACTATTCAGAATGCCAGAGTTTGGT